CTGCGTACGGCCCCCAGGCTCCAGGCTTGCGAGATCTTTCGGCGGGAAAATGGCTAACTCGGGAACTGGCAAAGCTGGGAAGCTGAAATTTCCAGAGAATGTTCCCAGCCTATGTACGACTTAAATTTATCAAATTTATCCCCCCAGGCATGCGCGGCCCTCACGTACGGCCCCGCGAAATTTTTTGGCGGAGAAATGACTAACTCGGGAACCAGCAAAGTTGGGAGGCTGAAATTTTCAGGTGATGTTCCCAGCCCATATACGACTTAAAGTTATCAAATTCAGCTCCTAGGCATGCGTAGTTCTCGTGTACGGGTACTCAAATTTTTGGCGAGAAATTACTCATTGAACGGCTGGGTCATTTTCAAAAAAAGACCGCTAAACGGAAATTGTTTGTTTTCTTTTATGCAAAATTTACAATGATTTATGGTATTGAGAGCACAAGATAGGTGTAAAGAAACAAGCACTCATGAAGTTAACCTAATTACTTCAAGTTTGGTGCAAAAACGCATGATCGCACCGGCTCGCCTGGTGTGTTCCAGCCTGGGTTTTTTTTTGCGATCGCGAGAGATAATTAGAGTTTATCTTCTCGTCCCTCCCTCCATTCATTCATCACTGATACCATTGCAGCCACACCTATACTTCTCAGGTCTACGCCACACCTGTTCGCGAACAGCCACACCTGTTCGTGTTTTCAGCAGTGCGTTATTAACGAGGTATGGACGTTTGATTCTGAGAAGCAATCGGCTACAGAATTGGCCAGCCGACAGTCCTATTACTTGGAATCTAGCTGGTGATTGCGGTATACATCTAGTTCTTAGTTCTGGTTGATGTGCACAGACACCGTCAAAGCCACTGCTGCCCCTGCACAATTGAACATCTGCACACCGGTGTTCTGCTTCAGCACGTTTGCGATGTTCTCCATTTCGTAATCTACAGTACTGCAACAACTCGCTCATTTTTGCAGCCATTGTTCGTGACGAATTTTGTTTGAGCCATCGATATTCAAATTGCCTTTCCAAACTATTCAGTACAATACTTCCTCATGGCAAAGCGTGATAATTTTGGGTGAAAGGTAACAACTTTGTCCCACTTCCTCTCCTGATGCCCATGTAGACTCCAGCCCCGTGTACTGTAACACCTGCCGTACACCCGTATTTGTTTTCTCAGCTGAGCCAAAGCAGAATGGCCTGACAATATTGTGTTAATTTTGCAGCTGCCTTTAGGTAGCACTGAGGGTTCCATACCAATACAGTTAACACTGGTGATATTATTCTCAACTGCTTT